GCTGAAAGGCTTTAGGAGGAAATTGAGGGGATTGGTCCCTATATATGCCGCCCCCCCCCCAAATCCAAGTGTACAGGGGCCACACGGGTCCCCTGGAGCATCAGGCAGGGTCGCAATTGCAGCTTCTGTATGTACCGCCCCTGCTGCACATAGTGGCCTGTTATTGTGCAACACAGAATTGTGAATCTAACCTAAAAGTTAACGAAATTTTCTCACAATTATGCACACAGTGGGAAACAGTTACAGTCAGGTCCATAAATATTGGGACATCGACACAATTCTAACATTTTTGGCTCTATACACCACCACATCCAAATCAGGTGAACAGTGTAGGAATTACAACAGTTTGCATATGTGCCTCCCACTTTTTAAGGGACCAAAAGTAATGGGACAGAATAATAATCATAAATCAAACTTTCACTTTTTAATACTTGGTTGCAAATCCTTTGCAGTCAATTACAGCCTGAAGTGTGGAACGCATAGACATCACCAGACACTGGGTTTCATCCCTGGTGATGCTCTGCCAGGCCTCTACTGCAACTGTCTTCAGTTCCTGCTTGTTCTTGGGGCATTTTCCCTTCAGTTTTGTCTTCAGCAAGTGAAATGCATGCTCAATCGGATTCAGGTCAGGTGATTGACTTGGCCATTGCATAACATTCCACTTCTTTCCCTTAAAAAAACTCTTTGGTTGCTTTTGCAGTATGCTTTGGGTCATTGTCCATCTGCACTGTGAAGCAGCGTCCAATGAGTTGTGAAGCATTTGGCTGAATATGAGCAGATATTGCCCAAAACACTTCAGAATTCATCCTGCTGCTTTTGTCAGCAGTCACATCATCAATAAATACAAGAGAACCAGTTCCATTGGCAGCCATACATGCCCACGCCATGACACTACCACCACCATGCTTTGCTGATGAGGTGGTATGCTTAGGATCATGAGCAGTTCCTTTCCTTCTCCATACTCTTCTCTTCCCATCACTCTGGTACAAGTTGATCTCGGTCTCATCTGTCCATAGGATGTTGTTCCAGAACTGTGAAGGCTTTTTTAGATGTCGTTTCGCAAACTCTAATCTGGCCTTCCTGCTTTTGAGGCTCACCAATGGTTTCCATCTTGTGGTGAACCCTCTGTATTCACTCTGGTGAAGTCTTCTCTTGATTGGTGACTTTGACACACATACACCTACCTCCTGGAGAGTGTTCTTGATCTGGCCAACTGTTGTGAAGGGTGTTTTCTTCACCAGGGAAAGAATTATTTGGTCATCCACCACAGTTGTTTTCCGTGGTCTTCCAGGTCTTTTGGTGTTGCTGAGCTCACCGGTGCGTTCCTTCTTTTTAAGAATGTTCCAAACAGTTGTTTTGGCCACGCCTAATGTTGCTATCTCTCTGATGGGTTAGTTTTGTTTTTTTCAGCCTAATGATGGCTTGTTTCACTGATAGTGACAGCTCTTTGGATCTTCTTGAGAGTTGACAGCAACAGATTCCAAATGCAAATAGCACACTTGAAATGAACTCTGGACCTTTTATCTGCTCATTGTAATTGGGATAATGAGGGAATAACACACACCTGGCCATGAAACAGCTGAGAAGCCAATTGTCCCATTACGTTTGGTCCCTTAACAAGTGGGAGGCACATATGCAAACTGTTGTAATTCCTACACCGTTCACCTGTTTTGGATGTAAATACCCTCAAATTAAAGCAGACAGTCTGCAGTTAAAGCACATCTTGTTTGTTTCATATCAAATCCATTGTGGTGGTGTATAGAGCCAAAAATTTTAGAATTGTGTCGATGTCCCAATATTTATGGACCTGACTGTAAATCCTCCTGCTGAGTCCATAAGAAATATTCTGCACACTTCCTGTACTGGGATTTAAAAAAACCCACACAGAGGTTCTCAACTTTACCTCTTCCTTCCAAATAAGAAAAGGTTAGCTGGGGGTTCATTTTGACTACCTTAAAATTTTTATACACGGTTGGAACGTTAATATTGGGTAACTTGCTAAATTACAGAAACGTGGTTTACTTTGATAACCTTGGAGCAAGTCAGACTATCAGGAACAAATGAGTAATATTGGGCATGAGCAATTATTTTTGGAATAAGACATTCTTTGTGTGCCACCATGTTCTCATTATGAGACAAGAGCCTGAACATGGCAAGACTCTCCTTTCCAGGGGCCACAATGCCGTGACCCCACAGTCACCTCTACAAGAGGAAATCAAGATACACGACCACAGCATGATTAAAGGTAGAACGTTGCCCAAAATAGCCCAAAGCCATGGACTGTGTGTACACATCACTTCCTATAAAAGCTGGCAGTGGGAGTCTTTGCTGGCACGCTCGTTCCACCATGACCTGCTCCTATACACAGACTTGGCATTAGTGCCTGCTTTCAAATCAGCTTGTCATCAGCTCTGGGACTGAACAGAACATCAACACAATTACATGTCTGTGTGAACCTGGGGGAGGTAGCACAGTGTATAAACAGAAATAGGAAGCTAATTAATGAATAGACTAATGGTGCAGATCACAGATAAGAAAGCAAGTTTATAAACTGTGAAGTATTAATGAAAAGAAGAAACATAACCATGCAGGTTATGAAGAGTTCAGCTGGAGGGCTTTCTGATTGCTTCAGCCCTTTCTCGCCATAATGAGTATGGTTCTAATGTCTTGTTGGGTCCCAAGTCCTACTCCATATAGGTGTCCATACATTGAACTGTTGGTGGCCAAAAAAGCCTGAAACAGCTGTTTGGGCTGAGGGAAGCCCGAGGTGCTGGTGCCCCTGGAGTGGCAGTCCAGGGGTGCCCGAAATTCTCACGGTGGGGGAGCTCACTTTGAGTTTATTAGTGCACCAAGGTCACATGCACTTCAGTGAGCGTTTTTCAAACCTGTCTCCTGGGGTGGGTCCATTTGACCGGGACCAGAGGAATGCTTATAACAGCTGAAAGGTCAGCCATTTTATTATAAATTGGCACTGAAGAGCTTTCCCTTTTTTAGGTTTGTTTTAGTCTTTTTGAAAGTATAACTTGCACTGGCACTTCATTCACTCCCAACTAGTAAGGTGTAGGTAATTGGGCTTGCTCTTAAAATCATGGGGGGAGAGAATGTGGCCTTTTGGTCAGGTTCTCCCCTTCCCATGGGGTCTCCCTTTGGGGGACGCCCCACCAAGTACTTGGGCAGACCTTGCTTTGGTAGGTCTCTTGAAGAAAAGGGTCTGCCTGGCTTTGGCTGGGTGGAACCTAAAGACCTCAGACTCCGTCAGGATCCTTGTGCCCCTAGGTCCCTTTCTAAAGCGTTATAAAAAAAAAAAAGTTGCATGCAGTTTGGAATAAATGTCTCTAAAATATTAGACAGTATATGTACTACACATCAATGGTTCTGGATGTGCATATGTCTGATGGGGTGTAAAGGAATGGTCTGCCCTGCTCACAGTCCTAGAAAGAGGAACAATCCTCCTATTTTTGAGATATGGTTATGGAATCACACGTGTTCTTAAAAGGTTTTATTGTGCCATGAAAAGAAGAATCTGTACCAAAAAGCTCAAAAATGGATATGAGAACATAGACGTAGACCTGTCACTGAAGTATTTTGGCCAGTAGTAACATTTTCCTGCAGTCGTCATAATTTGCAAAAAACTTCCCACAGAATCAGCTGACTTGAATTTCAGCTGAAAGTCAGGCCTGCAGTGTCCATTGTAGGAGTTCCTTACTACTCTACTCTATTGAGCTGGACATACACATGCAGATCTCTTTTGTTCAGTCGGCAGGCTCCTCCATACAGATTCCTCCATGCATGTTAAAGTGGTTGTAAACCCTTACATAAACCCAGTGAAGTGACTGACTTCAGGTGATACACAGAGTTGAAAAAAAAAAATCCTCCTCCATAAGTTGTACCTGTGTATCTGCAGCCCGCTCCTCTCTACAGCTGTTCAAAGCCCAGAGTTTATAATACATGTCTGAGTTTCCAGAAAGCAGGGGGTGGAGAACTGAAATTGCATACTGCAAAGCTCAGTGAGGAGAGCTATGAGAGCTGATTGGAGGGAAGGGACACACCCCTCTTCACAAAACTCACAGGAACAGAACTGAGACTGTCAATCACAGGCTGTGTGAGGAGATTCCTCCCATCACCTTTTTTCTTTTGGTCTCAGGAAAACTTGTCAGAAGAGGAAAAAAGCAGCAGGCAGAACTGACACTTAGTTCTTAATTGAGACAAGTCCACACTATAGAGGGATATGCTTGGTTCATATTTCATGTCTGAGATTTACAACCACTTTAAACAGAGAGAATGTATAAATCTCCAGCTGTGGACTATTGCTTTCTGACTGCCCACGATGCGTGCTGTCAGACCATCCGAACAGTGCCTGCATCTGATTGGATGTAGGCACCATTCAGGAAACAAATTTTCTGCCTGGATCCTTGGAATATCCAAAAAGGCTACCCACTGATCGAATTTCAGTCAATTAATTAGCAACCTGCTGAAACTTGCTCAGAGTATGGCCAGCTTACAATGGTTGTATGGCGTCAGGGTCCAGACCTCCCCAGGTTTTATAATGCACTCCGCTGCTGGCACTTCCTGACACATAGGACTCCATGTTTGATTTTGGCACCTGGTTTGAAGTCCACAGAATTTATAATTTAGGAATATAATATGTCATGTGGCGTATGTGAACACACCTCCAAATTATGGAATTCAGTTGTTTCCAGGGAAGGATAGAGTTGCTGCAGTATACAAAGAAATTCTAGACAACTCTGTGCTTTCACACTTGTGGTTTGCCACACACCTATATAAACTTGTTAAATATCCCATTCCATAATCACAGGTATTAACATAGCCCCCTCTGCCATGGTCATCAATCTACTTACAGGCAAATGGTGAACACAGCAAATGTGCTGTTGAGGAAAGCGACGAGATCCACCAGATAATCACTGGCCCTTTCACTGGATTCCAAGGCCATCCAGTCGTAGTCAGCCAGCTGCAGGAACTGGTCAATTTTCTGGTTCAGGTTGGTGTAAATCTCTTCTTCTGCAGCCTGCCGGGCATCCTGCAAAGGACAAACACCAGTGTTAGAGAGGCATAGGGGGAAATCTCTACTGACACATGTGTCCTATGGCGTAGCCAGTCCTTGTGTGTGCAGAACAGGCTATTCAGATAGTATGATTCTTGGACAGTCAACACAGTGGGACATCCAAGCTGGGGAAAAAAGGGCTAGATAATGCTGCACATCTTTCAGCCGAGAAATGAGGTGGAGCTCTACCTGACTTGCTGCAGCTTCTAAAGCACATTATGAGAAGCTCACAGTGTGCAACAACATCAGAGAAAGCCATTTCAGTCCAGGAGAGGAGACGGCACAACTGTGCGAGACTGAAGTGAAGGCTGGAGGTCAGCTTTAAAATCCTTACTGGTCATCCTGAAAAAGTAATTTTTTTTAATTCTTTTATTTTATTATTAATTTAGACAGTTAGGTAACACAAGGCAATACCACTGAAATAATGCCTTGCCTGTCTCACTTCTGTATGATATGTAATACGGTTATTGTTGAAAGAACTGAATGCTTCAGGTTGTGGCCAAGGACAATACCTATGATCTTTCTGCAGCTGATCTTTTCTCCATTACCAGCTTACCATGCTTTGTTCTGCACCATTTCTCTGTGTGGAGGAGAAAGCTGTCTTACTAAAGGACTTTCCTTCCTCACTTTAGATTTCAGGGACTAACACTGATGACTGGTGGGGTAATGAATAAGCAGCAAGAAAGACTAAAGAAGCACAGTGCCACAGAATGAATGAAGTGGAAGCAGGGAGATCCTTGTACCACAAGTCCTCAGGTACATCTTCCTCTCCAGCAAGGGGAACATTGAGCAGCACAGTAGTGACATCAACAAATGTCATTCAAAATCTCCTGAGACTAGCAGCAAGAATACAGTACAAGGTACATTTTCAAGATACTGCTTAAAGTTGTAGTAAACTTGCGTTTATTTTTACCTACAGGTACGCTTAGAACAAAGTTTTCCTATAGGTAAAATGAACATGACCTAAATGTGCACCGTTTAGGAGATACTCTATCAAGCAGCAGCTGACGTCACCAGCGCATGCGCTCTGAAGAAACAGTACAGGTATGCTGTGTGCAATGCCTTGTTCTGTACCATTTCTGTGTGTGGAGGAGAAGGCAGTCTTACTAAAGGACTTTCCTTCCTCACTTTAGATTTCAGGGACTAACGCTGATGACTGGAGGGGTAATGAGCAAGCAGCAAGAAAGACGAAAGAAGCACAGTCCCACAGAATGAATGAATGACGTGGAAGCAGGGAGATCCTTGTACCACAAATCCTCAGGTACATCTTCCTTTCCAGCAAGGGGAACATTGAGCAGCACAGTAGGGACATCAACAAATCTCATTCAAAATCTCCTGAGACTAGCAGCAAGAATACAGTACAAGGTACATTTTCAAGATACTGCTTAAAGTTGTTGTAGTAAACTCGCATTTATTTTTACCTACAGGTACGCTTAGAACAAAGTTTTCCTATAGGTAAAATTAACATGACCTAAATGTGCACCGTTTAGGAGATATTCTATCAAGCAGCAGCTGACATCACCAGCGCATGCGCTCTGAAGGAACAGTACAGGTATTTTGTGTGTCATGCCTTGTTCTGCACCATTTCTGTGTGTGGAGAAGAAGGCCTTCTTACTAAAGGACTTTCCTTCCTCACTTTAGATTTCAGGGACTAACACTGATGAGTGGTGGGGTAATGAGCAAGCAGCAAGAAAGACGAAAGAAGCACAGTCCCACAGAATGAATGAATGACGTGGAAGCAGGGAGATCCTTGTACCACAAATCCTCAGGTACATCTTCCTCTCCAGCAAGGGGAACATTGAGCAGCACAGTAGTGACATCACCAAATCCCATTCAAAATCTCCTGAGACTAGAAGCAAGAATACAGTACAAGGTACATTTTCAGGATACTGCTTAAAAGTTGTAGTAAACTCGCGTTTATTTTTACCTACAGGTAAACTATAACCAAGTTTTCCTATAGGTAAAAAGAATATGGCCGGAGATATGCTATCGATCAGCAGCGGACGTCACCAGCACATGCGCTCTGAAGGAACAGTACAGGTATGCTGTGTGCCGTAACTGATACTTCCACGCACATTCGTGGGAGTGATGTCATCACGGATCAGCCATTCAAGAGATCGCAGCCCACAACCCCGGAATGACGACCAGGTGAAATTGGAAGCGTCTGCAGTGGTGACAGCGCACCGCTGGAGGACTTTGTTTTAGGGTAAGTCCTTCATAATATGCTAGTATGTGGTGGCTATTATCACATTATGCCTGTGCCTAGCAGGGGAAACTTTATTTGTTTTGTTTTCAAAGAGTTTACTATCGCTTTAAAGTGGAATTACAGGCATACCGTAACTAAGCCTAAATCCACTCCCACCACCATTCTAAGACTTATCTATCTACCCTGTAAGAGAAAAGACATATATACTTACCTATTCTGAGGTCACTCCGGTCCAGTCACATGATCAGGTCCCAGCAACAGATTTACTGTAGAGGAAAAGCAGCAACAACGGGTGCAGAGCCTGCACGATGAGGTCACCCATAGGATATACGTTGTCAGCTGTTGCTCCTCTACACTGAAGCGGGCGTCAGAAGCCAGCCATATGACTGGATCGGAGTACCTGCAGAGTAGCGAAGTATAAGCAGCTTTCCTTTTACAGGGTAGATAGAATAGGCTTAGAATGGGGGTGGCAATAGATTTAGGATCTAATAGGGTTTGACTTGAATGCCACTTTAGGCAAAATTAAAGCAGTATTAAACCCAACCCCAAAGATATAATATATTGCAACTTATCAATCATTAGATGTTGTGGTTGCATTAGTTTTCTTTTTTAGGCTTTTTCCCCTCTGTTTTCACCTGGTGATCTGGCCAGTAACACCTTCTGTATTACAGCGCCCCCATTCTGGATGAAGGAGAACGGGAATTTGGACATCAGCATTGTTCGTCTTGGAAAGAGGGACTGTTAGATGTACTAGCAGATTTAAATACACTACACAAATACACTATACAAATTAAAGCCAAACTCCAGCTCATGCTTTATAAGCAGTACAGCAGGTTTTTATTTTTTATTTTGGGAATAAAAGCCGACTATTGTAAGCACACCTGTCAGTGATAAATAATTTGTCTCAACCCTCCAAATGCTACATCTGCAGGACAGCCTGTTCTGCTGAACAACAGTAGACTTACTAGCCAGATCACCAGTTGAAAATGAAAGAAAACCTAAAAGAGAAAGCTAATGCAGCCACCAAATCTAAGAATTGCAACTTGCAATAAAAGAAAATGTTATTTTTGGGTTTATCACTTCCTTAACATTTCCCTATAACTCAGTAAATCTTCACTGATTGAGTTCAGGTCCACTTTAATAGGCTATAGTTGAATTGTAAAACTAGGCTGGTTAATGTCTAAAAATTGACCACTTCCTATCTCAGGGTAGGCACTTACCTTGAAGGTGGTCAGACCGTACAGCTTGGTGGGTGTGTACGGTGTCGGGCAGGACATTGGTAATATTTGTGATAAATTCTTCAAGAAACTTGCAAGAGATTTCCAGATGGGTAGTGTTGATAATAATCTGTACAAGCTACAAAATAAATAGAAATGCTTAGCAGGCCATGTAATCATTTAAAAAAGTTTTAACAAGAAAAGCAAAACAGAATTCTGTTAAACACTATTTGCAACTAGGATTTTTGTAAAAATGCTCTGTTAAGTTCCCCAGACATTTAAGTGACACTTCTATGTTGAAGAATTCTACTACTGGCTCCCTGTGGACACTCTTCCTCCTTGGCATGAAATGCCAATGTCAGAGATGGAATCAGACTCAGCATGCCCAGTTTCTCTGTGATTGCAAAGTTAACCAGGGAGGCAAGACATATGGCAGAATCAATTGCAGATTTGCCATCAGAAGGTGCAGGCTCTGCAGGTGTCATTCTGGTCCTGCAGAGCCAATCTTGGCCATGCTTGGCCAATCAGTGATCACATGATCAGGACCTCACACAGATCTCGTACAGTGATCGGTGTCCGGACACAGCGGGCACTGGATCGCGGTGCCGCATGCTCCTAGGCAGGAAGACGTTTATAAATGGCCACCCGCTCCTGCACTGCTCCCGTCCGGCCGTTTATATACATGGGCCAGACGGGAAGTGGTTAAACAATACTGAAAAAATCACTTTACAGCTTCTATCACTTGAAGGCATTCAGTTACCAAGTACCATCGTATTTCTTTTTTTTTTTATTTTAAAGTCATCTTAAGGGTTACAAAAATGAGGAGCTGGTGCCCGGAAGAAAGACAGCGGAGGTAAGGAACTAAAAGTTGCTGTTTAAGGCCCTGTTTACGTCACACGTATTGGGAAAGAGTGTTCCTGCTTGCGATATTTAAATCACAATTTACACGCTGAAATGCATGCCGCACATAAGGCAGCCCATTCACTTCAATGTCTTTGTCGTCCAAAAGCTTCTGCTCCTTTTTTGGGGACACGCTTAGCACAATTTTTATTTAAGTGCGTTTTGTGACAGAATTGTGGGGCAATCGCGGCAGAATTGCACCATGTTTGAGGCGGCATTAAAAATAATGGCACCCAAACGTAGGTCTGCCACAATTTGGAATTGCGACAAGCGGGGGGAAAATGCCCAGTCCCCAGGGTGTATAGTTTGGCTCATTGAGGAAACTTTGATTTATATGTATTACACTGTGGCATGGTTAGGAGGTGTTTGCAATCAAAAAATGATAAGTAAGATAATTGATGCACGATCCACTATTTCAATGTATTTTATTCCTTGAGTTTATGGCCTATGGCCTCCCAATAATGTATTTATTTCAGGTACTTATATAGCACCGTCAATTTATGCAGCACTTTACACATATATATTGTACATTCACATCAGTCCCTAACCCTCAAGGGGCGTACAATCTAAGGTCCCTAATTTACATTCATACATACACATACTAGGGATAATTTAGACAGGATCCAATTAACCTACCAGCATGTCTTTGGAGTGTTGGAGGAAACCGGAGTACCCAGAGGAAACCCACGCAGGCACAGGGAAAACATGCAAATTCCAGTCAGGTGGTGCTGTGGTTGGGATTCGAACCAACGACCTGAGTACTGCCAAGCGGAAGTGCTAACCATTTAGCCACTGTGCTGCTGAATAATAAAAAAATATGTGCTGGTAAGACCCTCTCAAAAAAATTTTTTGCCATCTGTGATCTATTGGGGAGATTTGTTTTTCCACTTATTGTCTTATACACACAATAGGAAGTGAAAGGGACTTTAGCTTCCAGTGCTGAAGCAAAGCCCTTCTTAGACGACTGTGGCGGGGGTAGATTTCTCCATTGGAAGATACTTCTGTTTTGGTGACAACTCAGTGTTGGCTTTCCCTCAGTTACTGCCTGGAGACAGTGGTCACCAGTACAACTAATAATTGACCTGTACAAACAGAGATCTCCAATAGAGACCTAGAGAGCAGCACAGTAACTTAGTGGTTAGCACTTGCATCACTAGGGTCCTCTGTTCGAATCCTGGTAAAGACGCTGTCTGGAGTTCTCCATGCTTGTGTGGGTTTCCTCCAGGTACTCTGGTTTCCTTTTACACTACAAAAACAAGTTGGTCGAATAATTGGCTCCATATCCAAATTAGTCATATCATGTACAGTGATGTGAAAAAGTATTTTCCTCCTTCCTGTTTTTTTTTACATATTGGTCACACTTAAATGATTCAGATCATCAAGTTTATTAATACACAAATATAACCCGAATAAATTCAAGTACAGTTTTTAATTGATGATTTCATTTTTCAAGAGAAACAAGCTGTACAAACCTGCCTGACCCTATGTGAAAAAATAAGTGCTATCCAGACAGACGGCCAGGGGTTTTGCAACCTCATAAGACAATCAAGGGAGAATGCAAACTCCTCCTACAAGCTTTAACCAGTGCTCTGCTGGACACTGATAGAAGTCACAAGACTGCTATACAGGTGAAACTGAAAAAATTAGAATATCGTGCAAAAGTTCATTTATTTCAGTAATGCGACGTAAAAGGTGAAACTAATATATGAGATAGACTCATTACATGCAAAGCAAGATAGTTCAAGCCGTGATTTGTCATCATTGTGATGATTATAGCTTACAGCTCAATCAATAAAACAAGGATTGTACATAGAACAATATCGGACCTCTGAAAAGTAGAAGCATGCATATGTACTCAGTACTTGGTTTGGGCCCCTTTTGCAGCAATGACTGCCTCAATGCGGCGTGGCATGGAAGCTATCAGCCTGTGGCACTGCTGAGGTGTTATGGAAGACCAGGATGCTTCAATAGCGGTCTTCAGCTCTTCTGCATTGTTCGGCTGAAGCTGACCTGTTCATCTGCGCACTGAACTTTATTTCCTTGGATGACTCTCTCATATTGTCTTATCACAGAGTTTTATGAGTGGGGCTAAACATAAAAATCCACCGATTTCACCTCACCTCAGGTTGCATTCACACCTGAGCGTTGCGTTTTTGATTGCTTTTTTTCGGGCGCCAATAGAAAAATAAAATCATCTGTTTCATCATTTATGTTTTTTAGCTTTTTCATCAGCTCTTATTTTTTTTATCTTATTTTTTATTTAATCATTTGTGTTTTTATTTTTTTTGTTAGGGGTTGGGGATAGAGTAGGGTTAGTGGATAGGGGTTCATTTATTACTGGGGGCAGCACAGTGGCTTAGTGGTTAGCACTTCCGCCTGGCAGTACTAGGGTTGTTGGTTCGAATCCCAACCACAGCACCACCTTCCTGGAGTTTGCATGTTCTCCCTGTGACTACGTGGGTTTCCTCCGGGCCCTCCGGTTTCCTCCCACACTCCAAAGACATGCTGGTTGGTGAATTGGCTCCTGTCTAAATTGTCCCTAGTATGTGTATGTATGAATGTGAGTTAGGGACCTTAGATTGTACGCCCCTTGAGGGTTAGGGACTGATGTGAATGTACAATATATATGTAAAGCGCTGCGTAAATTGACGGCGCTATATAAGTACCTGAAATAAATTAAATACATACTATTTATGTATTATAAAGAAGTAAAAGTAGATAATATAAAATGTTTTATTTATTTATTTTTTGTTAGGGTTGGGCAATAAGGTTTAGGGTTATGGATTAGAGTTAGGGGTTAGGGTTTCTTGTTTGTTTTAGGGTTCTGGGGTGTATTTCTTTCTTTACTATTTATTTATTGTTGGTTAGGAGTTAGGTTTAGGGGTTCATTTGTTAATTATTTTGGTATGGGTTAGGGGATAATTAATTTGTATATAATATTATTATTATACAGGATTTACAGCACCAACAGTTGCTCAGCACTTTACAATATAACGGGAGACAATACAGCAACAATACAGTTCAATACAAGAGGGATAGGAGGGCCTGATCCTGGGAGCTTACAATCTAGGGAGGGATATTTGTGTGATTATTTTTTTTAATATTTTTGTTTTTCCTTCTGAAAAAACACATGAAAATGCACAAATGCATCTCTGTAAAGAAAATGCTTCAAAAACTCATCACTCACATCCAAAAAAAGTAGCTCCAAAACGTTTTTGAGTTTCAGGCGTTTGGCTTCAGGTGACTTGGAGTGGAGATGTGAACCATCTTCATAGAGAATTGATTTTTTTTTTCTCCCTGAGCGTTCTGGAGCTTCAAACTCAACATTGACTGTTTTGAATCCTTATTCAGCTGGCAGTAGTAAATAGATAGGAAAGTATATGTACATAAATATGGGCAGCACAGTGGCTAAATTTGGTTAGTGGCTACATATGGGCAGCACAGTGGCTAAATGGTTAGCACTTTCACCTGGCAGTACTAGGGTCGTTGGTTCAAATCCCAGCCATGGCACCTCCTGCCTGGAGTTTGCATGTTCTCCCTGTGCCCGCGTGGTTTCATCCCACACTCCAAAGACATGCTGGTAGGTTAATTGGCTCCTGTCTAAATTGTCCCTAGTATGTGTATGTATGAATGTGAGTTAGGGACCTTAGATTGTACGACCCTTGAGGGTTAGGGACTGATGTGAATGTACAATATATATGTAAAGCGCTACGTAGAATTGACAGCACTATATAAGTACCTGAAATAAATCAAAATACTTCAGCATACGCCCATGTGAGGGCTGTGTTTGCCCTCATGGGGATGCACAGGTGTTCCGTGCATCACTTTGCAGTAACTTTGATGTCATTTGGGATGCAGCGGCTTCATGAACACATCTGCTGCTCTCAGTTTGACATCCACATGGGTGCAGGTACTTGAACGCACACAGTCTGCATTTGGGGACACGCAACCTCACCCACACGGCTGTCAAATTGGGAGCAGCGGTTGTGTGCCTGCAGCCCTAGCGTTCCAGTTGACATGAATGGGACTGCCTGCATGGGGATACATAGAACACATGTGCATCACAGTGCTGGCAAACATACGAAGAAGACCTTACACTTTTGTTACTTTGGGCACCTTTTCAACCAGGAAAGGTTTTCTTGATGACCAACTTTAGTTCTTTAATCGCACTTCTGAATTGTAAGATAATTTAAAATAAGCTCATTTGAATTTTGAAGTTCATGATTTTGACTACTAATA